GAATTCAAGAGACTGACTATCTATCTATCTATCTATCTATCTATCTATCTATCTATCTATCTATCTATCTATCTATCTATCTATCTATCTATCTATCTATCTATCTATCTATCTATATCTATCTATATCTATCTATATCTATCTATCTATCTATCTATCTCACTGAAAAAGTGTTGCATGCAAAACTGTTGCAATGAATTTGTTGAATTTAAACAAATTACATTTGATGATGTTCAACTTAATTTGTTTAAATTCAGCCCAAATAAATTGTTTTCAACCACTTAACGTAAACGATTTGAGTAAATCCAAGGAATCATCTTTGACAATTTTTTTCAGTGTATCTATGTGGGGCAGTCATAGATTAGTTGGTATGAGTAGTTTATAGTTGATTAGTAATTTACAGTAGTTTATAATTGGTTGCCTGTGATTAATTTCTCAAAGTAGTAAATATTACAGCAGTGGTTTTCTAGATTAAATAACATTTAATTGATGAAATTATATATTTTTTAGCTATATATATATATATATATATATATATATATATATATATATATATAAATATAAATAAATTAGACACGATAACTTGCTTTTTTCAGTTTCTAAATGTGACTAAATCAGTGACCCTTTAATAAACTCCAGCCTATGCAGTGAGCAATGTTTTTATTAAATGAATAAATAAATGCAAAATCCAATATAAATAATAAAATAAAAAACTAATAAAAATGTTAATCAACGGTCTTTCATTGTGCCTTGAATCCATTTTACCAGCAATAATACAGAGAACAAACAGATTTGATTTGTGGGTGCAACAACACACACACACACACACACACACACACACACACACACACACACACACACACGCAATCTGTTCATAAACACTGACATGTTCAGAATCTGTGTATCAAAAAGAATATGAATAGTCTTTACAAACTACAGATCAGTATTAGGCTACAACCTTCAAGCCGCCATTACAGCGAGCTGTTTTTATTGAAAAGCTTATTATGAATGTTTAAGTACACAGTGGAGTACACACACTTATCATAATAACAGGACACATCTATCATTCCTGTACATCGCAGTTTATTTTGGCAGGTAACGGGAAACTGAACAGTCATGAAGCACATTTAGACCAGCGACACAAGAGTGTTGAATTATGGATGGTTATTCAAATGTTTACGTCACCGCTTCTTTCGAAGGCCTGTAGTTTACATTGTTTACTATGTTATGTGCATGCAAACAGGCAAAAAGCAACACTTATTTAGCTGAAAACAGTTTCAAGCAGAACATCTTCAATTCAAATTTAATCTTTCGTTTCGGTTTAATATTATGTGTTTTATTTTTCAATTAATGTGGTTTAATCTCAAAACAGTGAACTATAAATGTTTAAGAGCTTAACTAGTAAATATTTGTTTTGCGTAATGTCAAATGTTCAGGTTATTAACACTGTGGCGATCTGACTGGGTAGGGGTGACAGCTTATACATTTATAAGTAAAATAAAATACACAATTATAAAGTCAGAGCTACACAGGATATACTAGCAGTACAAGAACCCGTCATAGAGCTAAAGATGAACATAAACTAAACAGACTAACCCAGTTTGAATTGCAGTCTAACATTCAGTTTGGTCTCCTTAAAACCTCAAAATAAGAACACTTTATACAGATTTTACAACAACAATTTAAACCACTCTAATACACATAAATTCAACAATCAAATGCACAAAACAACAACAACAATAAAAAAATGAGGTCCCTCTGTCTACTTGAAATTAATTTGACCAAATCACAAGGATTAAACCACTTATTCACATCAAAACATTAGAAGAGGATTACATTCAGTACAGTCACACAGAGATTCAATATAAACTACTCAAACACTTCAATAATTCCTGCAGTTCAACTAATTTCAAGCACTTCAATGATTCACCCAGTTCAAACACTTCAATGATTCACTCAGTTCAAACACTTCAATGATTCACTCAGTTCAAACACTTCAATGATTCACTCAGTTCAAACACTTCAATGATTCACCCAGTTCAAACACTTCAATGATTCACCCAGTTCAAACACTTCAATGATTCACTCAGTTCAAACACTTCAATGATTCACTCAGTTCAAACACTTCAATGATTCACCCAGTTCAAACACTTCAATGATTCACCCAGTTCAAACACTTCAATGATTCACTCAGTTCAAACACTTCAATGATTCACTCAGTTCAAACACTTCAATGATTCACTCAGTTCAAACACTTCAATGATTCACTTGGTTCTCATGCGCCGTGAAACCGGAGTTAGCCTTTTGTGAAGGTGTCAGGTGTTTAGTTTTGAAAGTCGACAAAACTAAAGTTTATATAATATGATGATACTTTCACCAAGCATGTCTATAAAGCAGAAAGGAGGGATAAAGAGTCAGGGAGGTAAGACATCATAACATTATTTCTTGGCCATAATTCGGGTCAAAGAGCACAGATAATTCTATAACACACATTTTTTTATTCTATAGAATAGTCATAACTAATAGGCTATTCATGCAAAAGGTTCCCCAAGTGATCTTAGCTTATCACTGTTACATTGTTTTCCAGTAAAATTTAGGATTGATGTCTGTTATTAATTTAGAATAATAATTGTGTAATAATATTAACAATATTTTTATTTAGAAGAAATTTAAGTTAATTTTTTTATTTATTGAAAAATAAATGTAACTATTTAAGGAGGGTGGGTATATGGGGTGGTTCGCCCATCTAAACTAGAACCACCACTGCACACACACGCACGCACGCACGCACGCACACACGCACACACGCGCACACGCGCACACAATAGACAGTAATGGCTATGTAATATTTACCTTAAGGTACATCAATAGAAGCTGCATTAATAAAGTGGCTCAAAAAGGGATATAGATAAATGATATTATTAGGGTCTGTATAGTGAGTGAGTGTGTGTGTGTGTGTATGTATATATAGTTATGCCTTGTTCAGTTTGTTCACTTGTTTGTTTTATTATTTGACTCATTCTCAATTAATTTTAGACATGGCATATTCTGTATGCTGTACAATAAACGTATGTGAAAAATAACTGAAGTTATTTCTATATATGAGAAGTGTTTTTAAACTAAATATTGATTTTTATTTGGTTTGCACATGTACTTGCTGAATTGAGATATTGTAAGACTAATTAATTAAAGAATTAAAATCACATTATTTAAATTTACCAGAAAAAAATTAATAACATTACACTGAATTCATTTCTTTGTGTGTGCCACCCCTCTTCTGGCCACCCCTATGAAGATTTTCTGGGGGCGCCACTGCAGATTAGAGGACGCTGAGAATACAAACAAGAACCACAAAACACTTAACGGGAGTGTTTGATTAATTATTACGTTGCTTACCTTACATTCAAGACATGAAAGCCTCGTCCATCTTCGCTTTCCATACACCCAGTTGTGTTGGGATTGTGTCTGGAGACTCTGTTAGCGGACACGCTTCGTATAGGGGGAACCGGAAAACCAGAAGGGAACAGAATCGACTGCTACATTGATCCAGGGGCAGGCAGAAACACAACCACAATACTGGTCAGAGCTGGTCCCATACAACCACAACGAAACCACAGACCAGCTCCAGGCAGCCAGCAGACAGTCATAAAAGGTGTAAACAATCCAATCTGCAACGGAGAATAAGAGAATAAAAACACTTAGAATTAAGCATAGAGCAAAACAAGAGTTTGCAAGAGTACGAGTGCTGAGAGGAGCAAACGCGCGTGTGGAAACCAGCTTCAGGTGCAGCGTAATCAGAGCCAGCCCTGGGCTTGTAGACATGAGCTGGACTAGAGAGACCTCTGCTGGCCGGTGAGGGGAACTGCTAGCACAGAGACAAGTCAAGCAGTGAGAGAAGTTTCACTAAAGAATTTATAATAATTCCTTAATTAATCGGAGTAATTGTTTGTTACAAATCTGGCAGCACCTCCCACTCCTCAACAGCAGAGCCATGAACATTCAATGTTCCTATATTTATACATTCAGAAGAAACCATTCAGATTTGCTCTGGTGCATTTTAGATGATCATCTAACATGATGCCAGCTTACAGTGTGACAAAGTTATGTTCATGCACTGACATACTTAACTGTAAAACAACGACAAAACACTGCTAAACTGGTCTTTAGTGCCTGCTCACATCTGTTTTCTCAATAGGAGGAACAGCCGGTTACTATCAGCTCAATGAGAAATAAAGTGTTGAACCAAATGAAAAAGCATCAACTGCAGCCCATCATGTTATTGGCCAAGATGACAGCCGTATTAGCCTGGAACTGCAACCTTACCTCATGACTGAGCATCAGGCCAGCAGGTTAAGCACAGCTCTCCACTCCCAGCAGAGAGTCTGCAGATCAGTGACCAGGGCAAAGCTTCTCCACCAGCTGCAGCGCTGTCAGAAACAGACAGACACACGGAATTATGGGGTAACAGTGTAGATCAGTATTAATGTGCACACTCTAAACCCAGATAAGTTGAGTTTATTTAAAAAAAAATAAATGAGGAAGGCTGCACTAAAATTAAGCAATGAATACTTAAACTAGAGTGAGCTCTGCTTAAAAGATAAGAGTTGTTCTAACACTATAAGCTGAATACACTTAATGATTAATTAGTGTCAGTTTACTTAGCCTCTGTTAGTGCATTAAAATAAACACAAAAGTGATACAGAGGGGTGTTTTTATTTAAATTTCCTTTCAAAATACAACAAATC